AAGAAAATACCGAGGAACAAACCAATAATAAAAGTTTTTGATCCACAAAAAGAAGTAATGTTAACCACAGACTCAAGTGAAAAGTCGATTGCTGCTATTCTATCACAAGAAGAACACCCAATCATGTACATATCAAGAAGGTTAATGTCAGCATAAACTAACTACTCAAATATTGAAAAAGAAGCACTAGCAATTGTATGGAGCATGGTAAGGGCACAGAACTTTTTGATAGGAAAAAATTAGAATTCATATTTAACTGAGAAAAGAATTGTCAAAAGTCACATCACCAAGAATTTTAAGATCGGCTATGAAAATCATGGCATTTGATTTTGACATAGTATATGTAAAAAGGAACACTGTCCTATATTTATCAAGATTACAATTCAAGAATGAAACAGAAGAAAAACAGGAAAATACTGAAGATAAAATAACATCTTCCTCTAAATAGAAACAAAGCAAGACCCAATATTAAACAGAATAGTAGAGAGAATAAAAAAATAATATATGGAGCAATTGTTCAATGGCAGAATGACCTTTTAAAGAAACGAATCACAAACTAAACATAGAAAATGGCATAATATACAATGGGGATATAATAGTAGCTCCACAAATACTGAGAACGGAACATATTAAAAGGAGTACATGATGACGTGCATTGTGACATAACAGCAACACAAAAAAGACTAAAGTTATAAGCCTGGTGGACAGGATATTCAAAAGATGTAGAGGAATATGTTAAGAGATGCCTAAAATATGCAGAAATGGGCTAGGGTCCACATGGATCATGTACATGTCAAAGATAGGGGATTATTCTTAGTATCAGTGGACGTATATTCAGGATGACCAGAGGTTGTCAGTGTAAGCACACTAAAGCAAGTACTAAGAACTATATTCTCAAGAAATGGTGTACCCCAGACAATAGTCACTGACAATGTGCCTGAATTTTGTGATGAGAACTTATGTGGGTGGTTAAAACAGATTGGATGCATCCCATACAAGACACCACTGTATCACCCACAACTTGAAAACTTGATTGACTTTGTAAAGTAGCAATGAAATATTCCAAAGCTTCTGTCTCCACCATAAGCAGAGCAGAAAAACCAATAGACATAATGGCTGAATTTATGATACCGTGTTTTAGATCTTTAAAAACTGAAATAGTTAATGGCAACAAGGGAATACTCTTAATGTGTGTCAAATGGTGTATCTTATGGGAGAATAATGGTATCCACTGGGAATAATAGGCAAACATGCATATAAAATGCCAAAGTGATTAAATATTTTGAACTCATGTTAGCTTGAAAAGAGTTCTTAATCGATTAGAGTCTGGTCTCATCAACTGTGTATAGCCAGCTGAGTTAATGGAGATATGACCAAAACTATATTTATCATTGTTTAGTGTTTGACTTATGGGAAAAATCCATAAATTGCTTCCAATTGATATCCTGCTTTGTTTTATCAAGTTCACACACTGTCATATTATATATATGAACAAAGTTAATTCCAACCTTTCTTCAATCATGATATTATTAATGATGTATTGGAAGCTGGGAATTTGTTGAAGAAGAGGAACTAATGCTACAGTAGTTAGTAATCTTAGTTTGTCAAATTGGCATTTTCAGAGTTGAGAACATCCTTGAAGTTTGAAAATGTACAATGTCAGTGACTGTACTGTTTGGCAGTTAATGTTAAACTAAAATCCACATCAAAATGTTCAGATCTCATAAGTCTCTCTATTAATATTAAACTGAATAAATATTCTTCAAAATGAGAAGACATGCACAAGGAAGCTTTTCAACTTAAGATGGCTTTGTATTGGAAAACAAGGGAAATGCTTGTAATTGCAAATCAAAGAAAAACACTACATTAAGCATCACAACATTAACAAGAAACAATTAATATATGATATATAGTAAATTTAATAAATCATTAGAATCAGCTCCATTTGCATTTCAAAAAAGCTTATATGTATACAAAAAAAACAAGTTTTAACTTACTTTTGAATCTTCATTTTATCATCCAAATTAGTCAATGAAACACAGTCTTTCATAAACCATATCTCAGAATATGTTGCATAGATATATTTTGAATGCACCTGTTTTGCACTGAGGATAAAAGATTTTCCAAGGTTTCAAGCAAAAGTTTCAAGTAAAATTTAATTTCAGCAATATTTTATTTAAATTCCTCCTCTTTTCAAACTGCCTTCCTTGCTGATAGGCACTTTTTAAAAGGAGGCCTTACAATTTCTCAGTAGGAGTGATTGCAGCCCAGCCTTTAACTTTCATGCACTTGTGTTTAAACTATTCCTTGGTGAAATTAGCTTTGGTTGCATTATTTTTTCCATAATGGTAGTCAGCAAATGGAACAAGACTCTTCTCTATTATTTGATTTCTTTCCATTACTGCCAATACAGATTTTCTTTTGAGTATAAAAGCTCTCTCCACTAGATCTTCTATCAAAGGGATGGTTCATAAAGCTTTTTCCCTCCTTTGAACATCATACTTGTATCATTTAATTCTATTGGGACAACCTAAATTAAACTTCTTGTCAGAGAACACAGCAGTCTTCCATTGTTCCATGGTTCAAGTCACCTCTATGCACTTTTTTCTTGTGGGCATCATTCAATGCAGGATATTTCTTACTTGACAAAAAAAAAAACAAAAAAAAAACCCCAAGATTATCTGAGTAACTGACAACTTTCTAGATTCTTGTTGCAGTGATAGCAAGATTAAGTTTATTTTGAAGGCCTTAAGAGCATAAATTACCTTTTTGTATCTACAATAACATCCTGCAGAGGTAAATTTAAGTGGCATTTCTGATTTGTTTCTTAGTTACATACATTTTCAAATCCTTAAAAAATTACTACTGGTGATTACATCTGTTCATTTATTTGTGCAATAGTATAAATACAGTTGACTTTCCTTCTTTTATGCAGTGCTTCAAGGGAAACTTCATTCACTTTGAACAAAGTTAGATAAGTAGAGAGTTCTAGAAACTTCTGCAAAAGATCAGAAAATATTTTTGGAATATATCTTATATTTATTTCATCTCTCAATAAGCATTTTTTCAACATTGCTTATATGAGAGAAGGTAGATAAAAATTGTCTTTAAAAATGAAATCCTTTTCAAATTTTTATACATAAAACTCTTTAACCAATACTTGAAATTTACACACTATATTTGTTCCGTGTCTGATAATTATTTTCCTAATTATAGAAATTATTTGATAGTCTTTCATTGATGTAAATTATTTTCAAATATTGCTAGTTTTATAAATAAATGTGAAATGAAATAAGATATAGTGGGGAAATGTTTTAAAGATAAATATTATTTATCATTACCAATTCCATAAGTATGTGTTTTCTTTTCCATTTTTTCTGTGTGCATAATTCATAACTGCAGTTTATATCTTGTTCTATCGGATTATAAAAATGGGTGATAGCAATTTTTCTTGACTCCAATATACTAAATCAATAAAAAGCTTTTTGAAAGTAATGTATATATTAGTGTGAGAAAGTTTATGTCTAGATTAAAAGGATATCTTTATATATTAAAATAAAATTTTACTTACATTAATTTTATTTTTCTAAAAAAAAATTGAAAGTAGGAAAAATTAAGGATTTCTATGAAACCTATCAATAAACAATTTATATTAAAGCCATTTAACATAAGATTTCAATCAATGCTCCAGACTTCAGGTGCTTGTTGATCTAAGGTAACTTTCAGGGAAATTTGAACCAATGCTTTAATCTACTGGGACACTACTTAAAATGTTGGTTTGTGAATTTGGTGGCATAGTAATTGTAAGTTCAAGCCCTTCCCTACAAGAAGAGACTCAGTGGAAATAGGACTTTTCTGTACTAAAAAGAACTATACACATCTAGAGGCATGGTCAGAGGAACTAGAACAATCTACCAACATAGATTAAATAAAGGGTTTAAAATTGAAAGTTAACCAGATCAACACTGATGAAGGCCAAAGGGCACAATGCCTGAAATGTGATAATTACAACAAAGATGAAGACAACAGTCTGGGTGTATATAACATAATTAAAGATAACTGCCCATGCCAAAAATTCAGACAGGCAGCTATTTAGCTAGATTTGTTTTTTGACACATCTAAATGGGGAATAAAATCTGGTGAAATGTTAAAATTATTTGTGGCAAAATTAGCATCTTATTCATGTCTTTCAAAGTTACACTAATGTATTTAATAAGTACTTTTTAAACATTGTTTCTCTATCTTCTTTTTGAGTACCATCTCCAAGACTAAATTTGTCACAGCAGAATATGGCCTACTTTAATTTAATAAAATCAGGAAAAATTGAATTATTAAAAAGAAAATTCAGTTTGGGCAAACTTTAGCAGTTCTACTTATCAGTTTATGTCTGTGGCTGGAAACTAAAATTAACTGAACTTTGTTGACCAAAGATCTGTCCTTCAAGTAAGGACTTCTCTAGTACATTAAAAAAAGTTGAGTCAAGACATGTTCTGACATCTGCAGCAATGGCCAAGGGAACTACGCTATTTTTAAATGATTCCCCATGAATTGTGACTGCCTTGTGTACTAAAGCTAAACTAAAACAACGAAATAGGCCTTTACTTGGTGGCGTGGCAAATAATTACAAATGAACAAATACATTTAAAAGTAAATCGAGCAGGTAAATATTGCTTAATTTATATTTTGATATTTTCTCCCTCTATTTTTTTTATGATATAGATTATACATATTTAGTTAACAAGAAAATTATTACAGAATAGATGGAATAACATTTGATGAAAAAGATCACTACTATAGTTCCCCCCCCCGGAACCAATCCAAGGGAAATAACTTAAAAGTGAAAAATGCTGAATTGTTTTTCTTGTGACCAAAGGCAACCATTTTCCATCATGGCCGGGCATAGCCACTCGTGTGGTCATGAACATAAACATGATGAACAAACGGATGCTGAACGTGCAAATGCCTTTAGTTTATATCGCAAAATTGATATTGAAAGAGTAATGTGTCTTAATGAAGCCGTTGATAGTTCTGGAAAACTTGTCTTTAAACCTTGGGATGAGCGGCTGGACAGAGAGAAGGTAAGAAAAAATGATCTTAACTTGCAGTTTTGAATTCAAGTTATTGAGATTGTTTAAGAATAATAAATTATTGAAGCACGCTGATTTTCAATGTTTTATTATTCTTCTATTAATTTCAAAAAGAAAAAGAGTATGTTCGGACATTGTTTATAAGTTTATTATTATTTTATTTTTTAGTTTTGGTGTTACTTTGTCTTTTTTTTTTTTTTTTTGACTTTTTATTTGGACTCTAGGTTCGATTCTGTTATTATTCTCCCTATCGGAATAGATAACAGCTGATTTGTCACATGCAGCGATGATTTTTAAGAAATTTATCGGTTGTAGAATTTTTTTGTTCCGTGAAGAATTAACTTTCCTGCTGCAAATTTCTGTTAAAAAAAAAATAGAAAAAAAAGAAAGAAAGGCGAGAAAACATAAAAGTTATTCTTAGTTCGCATTTATCAATTTTTTCTTTCTATTTTTTTTCAGTTATGGGATCCACAAAAATCAATTGAACTACTAAATTCCAGTAGTCTGGGTTGTTCATTCTTGTTGTTCGTTTCCTTTAACATTGAATTTTTAAATTACATAGGATCAAAGACATATCACTTTTAATTTCCCTGAGAAAATCCGTTTCAAAGATAGTTCTGAGGTTCAGCAGTATCTCCCTTGAGGCAGATAGCGCAGATGCACGTTTCGAGTAAAGATTCTTAAGAATTTTTCTTTTTCATCTTCATCAATTTTAATGCAGTCCACCAATATAAACCCCCACATCTACCTTTTAATTCGAACATGTGTTTCCAAGTCGGTTAAGAAGAAGAACGTGACATAAATCAGATTTTTATTCTTGGAAAAAAAAACCCCAAAACAAAACCCCAAAACTTGATTTTTGTAGTGGCTGGAAACTTTAAACTAAACAGTAAACAGGGTTCAGAGATTCTTAGACACGTGTAAGGTTCCAAGTTTTTTATTTTATTTTTATTTACTAATTTAAGCTATGAATCAAGTTCTTAGCCAAATAATGCAAGCTGATTTTTATTGATGTTTCCAAATCAAACTTGGAATTTGTTCACTAAAATTTTAAAAATGATTTACAATTTCCATTTATGATGTAAGAAGATGGTGTAAAACAAACTGAAATAACAAAATTTACAATATTTATTTATTAATCACCAACAAGTATTATTTCAGTTAACTTTTCTTGACTGTTGTTTTGAAAGCTGTGCTACAAAAAATGATCATATCAACTTGAATCAAATAACAATAAATTATTTTTTAATGTTAGCATGTCTAAGTTATAAAATAAGTTTCGAGTAAAGATCGAGTACTTGAATTATTACTTATTATCTGATATCATATATTGACCATAATCCACACAGGAAAATCATAGGAATAAACGCGATTGAAAATTATTTAAATAAAATAAATGTATTTAAAAAAGCTTTAAGTTTCAAAATTAATATATGTATTTTCTCTCACTGAAAAAACGTAACATTTAAATAATCTTATCTTTGATAATTTTTTTGATAAAATTATACTTTAGAATAGATTTTTTCTGTATATTAGAAATAAATCTGAAGAGACAATGCTTTGCAAATATTTGTATAAAATATTTTTGATTAATGCAGTTTTGAACATACTGAATCAAAAATTAAGTGTCAAATTGCTTATATAAACTGAAGATAACAAAGTACACATGAGGGGGTGCTGAAAATTTGTCAGCTCGCTTAAGAACAAATTGGAAAAAATAATGATTGGTAAGTAGGATGGACTAAGTAGCTTCTAAATGGTGGACAAGATTTTTTTTTTTAGTAATCTTGAAAGTTGCTAAGTTCACTTATAAATTAGTGTGTGTGTGTGTCTGCTTTCTTTTTCAGGTATTCAAAATTGACTAAAAATATATTTATTATTAATCGTATGTTCCTGCATCTTCCAATGTTTAATTTGAAGGTGACAATTTTTTATGGTGTTTGAATTTTTATTAGAATTTTTTAACCATGCAGCTTTGATATTTTTTATACTTGATTTTAATTTTACAGTTGTCTTATTTCTATGAGCTAAAATAATGAATTCATTTAAATATTGTATGTGGCAAGAAAGTGAAGCAATCTACGTTTGTATCGATTGCATTGTCTGTTCTTTTATTGAATGCAATTTTTATTAATTTAGATTACAATACCTGATTTTCTCTTATAAGATTGTTGACTCATTTTTAAATATTGTCAATTATTTTTCCTCACAATAAGAACATTGTGTAGTTGTAGTTTGCAGATTGCTTTTGATAATTCTAATGAAGTAGTTTTATTGAATTAATACACATGTTCTATATTTATAATTGATTTAATAACAAAAAAAATATTTTTCTCTCCAGAATATGTCTTGCATATTTACAAGTCTGCCATTCAACAATGCTTTGAATATTGCTGCTACATATAGTCTGGTGCACCTTCTATATATTTAGAGATCTTTGATAAAATCCAAAGAAGAATCTACAGTGTTATTGATTCTAACCTGGCATCCTTTCTTCAGTCACTTTCCCATCATTTTCCTGTGCCTTTTCAATAAATACTTTCATAGTAATTGTTCTGAACTTTCCTCTATGGTATCTAAACTTTATGAATTTAAGCACAGTGTCGTGTAATGAATATCGACTCGGAGAGTCGAGTTTGTTATATTCACTTACGCACAAATACCCTTGGGAAGAGTATGAATCCATCACTTTTCCCCTAGCTATGGGTTGAATAGCAGGACAGACTACCAGTGCTCATATTGCAATTTTGCTGTTATCATTCCATGTTTTTACCAGAGCTCATATTGCAACATTGTTGTTAATATCGCTTTTCTCTGGTACTCCTTATTACTGGTTCCCATATTGTATTTATTTTTATGCTTGGTCAGCTCAGGAGATTTTTGTGGCCTAGCATATGTGCTGATTCCTTAAGTTTACGAATTCTCCAATGGTGTTCCTTGTCTATGATCTCAACCTGATCTCTGTGGTAAAAATGGTTGCTGAAGACATTAGGTTTATAATACCCACAAATTCATACACAGATGTTCTCAAGGACATATGGCACAGTGGATAAAGGCGTTGGTTAGATCCAATGACAGGACCCAAAGAGTGTGAGTTCAGTGGCAGTGAGTTAAGGCAGTGGAGAACTTTCAGAGGGAAAATTAACAGGAGATAACTGATAACTGACATCCATTAAGCATGGCATGTGGAACTAGAACGGTCTACCCCAGTGAGCGAAATAAAGGGTTCAGTTCGACATTCCAACCACCTAAAGAAGGCCGGAGCATACAACGGCTAAAACGTAATAAATATGGCGACAGATGAGGACAATAGTCCGAATAATGTAAATAATGGACTATTTTTAACTTCCCGTTAATCATCCTTAACAACTAAATAAGAACAAACGTAAAGTGAAAACGTTCATAATTTTGTAATATTTTCCCTTAAAAATGTCGACTTTTACTCCATCTTGTAAAAAAAGAAAATTAACTGAAGAAGGACGTGTGTGTCAAGAAAAGTGGGAATTACAGTACTTTTGTACCACTGTTAATGGAAAGATAAACTGTTTGATTTGCAACCACTGCATTGCGATGCCAAAAGAATATAATGTGAAAAGACATTATGGAACAAACCATCCATCTTATGATAAATATGAAGGGGATACGCATGTTTCAAAAGTGAAGGAATTCAAGGTTAAGTTAACATAGCAACAGAGTTGCTTTACAAAAATTCAGAAAGGCAACGTTACTGCAAGTTTTGAACTCTGCAAAATGATCGTCATCAGTGGAAAATCTTACACTGAAGGTTTCATAAAGCTATGTAAAAACAACTGAAATTGTATGTCCAGAGAAGTCACACTAATTTTAAGACATTTCATTAAGCAGGAACACTGTTGCTGAACGGATGGATGAAATGGCGGGTGAGTTGACAGTTGAAGACTTTATCATCAAGTTTTGAACATTTTTCTATTGCTCTGGATGAGACTGTTGATATAGCTCATTGACATTAGATCATAGGTTGAGGTTTGTTACAAAAACAGTGAACTATATCAGAGGTCGTGCTCTGTATTACCATCAGTTTAGCCATTTATTGGAAGAAGTGAATAATCAGTTCATAAATGTCCCATTCTACACAGAAGTTCAGTGGCTTTCATGTAACACGTTAGTGAAAAGATTTTTTTTATTGCGACATGAAATTGTTATGTTTTTGGAGATGAAGGGTCAAAGCACAGATGAATTGAAAGCTGGCTCCAAGATCTGGCTTTTTCAGTGGATATTACTGCCTAATTGAGTGACCTTAATTTGAAATTACAAAGTAAAAATAAGCTCATCACTCTGTTATATGATGATATCAAGTGTTTCATTGCAAAATTAGCTTTATTGAAGTCCCAGTTGTTACATGAAAACTTGATTCATTTTTCTATGTGCAAGGAGTTGAAAAGACTACCAATACTGAGTCTGTATTTATCTTTGCTAGATACAATTACCTGGAATTACTGTCAAAGGAATTTCTGTGAAGATTTTGTGATTTTTCATCTTGTAAAAATCAGTTTGCATTATTCTCAGTACCATTCACTTTTGATGTTGCTCAGGCAGAAGAAAGTCTAAAGATGGAACTACTGGAAATGCAAACTGACTGATGGGGAAAGTACCTAGAAATAGGGGTACCCGGATTTTTTTCATATCTTCCTCAGACATTTAAGAACTTCAGAAAGTTTGCTACAAAGATTATGGCAATGTTTGGTTCCACATATGTCTGTGAGCAGTTATTTTATGAGGGCCACAAAAACATCTCACAGAACCAGATTAACTGATGAACATTTGTCATCTTTGATTAAAGTGGGATCTACACAGATATTCCAACCTGATATATCAAGAATAGTTTGTCTAAAGCGATGTCAACCATCAGGACAACATAAAAATGATTAAATTGTACTACCTTGTATTGTAAGTATTTTGAATTTAAAGTTTAGGTACCACTAACTGTGATTAATGTAAGACTGTAAGCAGGT